AGCCACGTGTTTTGAGGGGGCAACACGGGGATTATAGTCTGCGGCGTTACTAACACATGCACACCAGGTATTCTGGGACAAACACCCAATGCAAGCTCATTAAATCAGCATTTGGTGTATCCGAGCGAGGCGTTAACGACGGGCTCTAATCTCGGCGGTGACCTGTTCAAACTGTGTCACAGCCGAGCAGAGCTGAGACTCTGCAGAGAGGCTGCAGACAGGAGGGAGGAGGAGGGAGGGAGGGGGACGGGGGGGACAGTTAATATTACCAGTGCAGGAGTTTGGGACGAAAATATTTATTTTTACAGGATAGAAAAACACAATTAGTTTTGAAATTCGTTTAAATTTTTTTAAAGTTTGACATCTAAATAAAGGGATTTTAAACCATTTAACCATTTAAAAGACGTCATTTTACAACGTTAATACTTTAACTTAAATAATGTTCATTACTTCGACGCGCTGTTTTCCGAGTCACAATAAATAAATCAACTTAATATATATTTTTTTCTTTTGAAAATAATCAATAGTTTTAACTTTTAATTCTTACATTTGGTCATTTTGTTTATCTTAACATGCAATAATTCTAATAAAAATCGTCCAGCTATATCAATAATAAATAAAATATAGGCAAACATAGGCATAAGTGTTTGTTTGTTTGTTTGTTTGTTTATTTGTTTGTTTGTCTAACCGTTTTGGATTTAAATGAATGCCGATTTATTTTCAAAAAAAAAGAAAAAGAAAAAGAAATCCAATAAATTCAAAATGAAACTTGTTCGCGTAAATGAAAGACAAACTACGTCTAATAAAGGCCACATTTTTCTAGTTTGTGTGACAGATTTGTGACAGCACCAACTGTGAAGGGTGTAAACAGTTAAACCGGATTTATGGTCAAAGCTTTGCCAGCAGATGAATTTATTTAAGAAAAAAAAAAAAAAAAAAAAGCGAGCCCTTTAATCCTAATTTTAAAGCATGATTTTGTTGTTATTTGTGCATAATTCGGGTGTAAATTTGGTTCGATGTTATTCTCTGGGCCTTCTCTCATTTTAGCTGCAAAGCTTTCCACAGCCCGGCTCAGACTGCGGCCGCCAGGTGTCGCTAGAGGGCCGCATATTCTCCGCTGAGTCTATGAAGGGGGAGAAAGCCACAGTTACATTTTGTGTTGGCCTCCCCTCTCTCTCCCTCTCTCTTTCTCTCTCTCTCTCTCTCTCTCTCTCTCTCTCTCTCTCTCTCTCTCTCTCTCTCTCTCCCTCTCCCTCCCTCTCTCTGTGTGTCTCTCTCTCCCTCCTCCCTTTTACTAACCCTCTGACACCAGACTCTGAGAATCGGTGGAGGGGAAAATGAGGCTTTGGAGCTGAAGAATTTACAGTTAGTCGCGAAACTTTTACAAGTATTTGAGTTGCTCACTCCACTTTCTGAAACCCTATAGTCACATTTCACTCCGGGGTCAGAAAGAGTTCAGAAGCGGTGGACTTGAGTTAACGCTTTCTGCTAGAGGAAAACACTGAGCATCCAAATGATTATAGACACAAATCATCAATAAAAAAAAATAAAAAAAATTCATCTGAAGATATGTGGACACATGAGGAGAATTCAGTGCGGCGGATGGAGATGATTAATAGGATTTAATTAGTTGTCTTCTTTCCCGTTGGAAACCAGGGGACAGGGAACAACTGCGTGACTTTTATTGAGCGCAAAAGTTAAACCCTTACATTAAAATAAGCACCAGCAGCTGCATTTCTTGTCATTTTGAAGCTGGGAAGAAAAAAAAAAGGGGGGGGGGGCTGCAAGGCTGCAAGGTTTTTTACTTTCCGAGCCTCACCAGCGGCCAGTCTATGATCCAGCCTTATCTCAGCGCCTCTATACATTAGCTCTGCTAATTTACATAATCTCAAACACTGAAGAGGGCCAAAGAAGAACAAAGTTACAAACAAGATTAGGGCGATTTTATTTGTTCCTGCGGTTGAGCGCCGATTGTTTCTCCAGGAGTGTTTAAGGTCACTAAGAGGATTTGAAGCTCGTTTCATATCAGTGATCTTTTTGAGGGAATTAAATCAACAATGCATTTCTCTCCATATTTAGCAACAGGCTTGTGTGTGTGTGTGTGTCTGTGTCTCTCTCTCTGTGTATGTGTGTGTGTGTGTGAACAGCCGAGCCCTGCAGGGTAACAGAGGAGGGGGGAGAGAGAGAGAGAGAGGGAGAGGGGTTGTAAGTCCTGCAAAGAGTAAACAGAGGGAGTGGAAGTTCAGTGCTGGTGCTCGGGCGCATGCAGGCGGTCCATGGGTGCACCTTTAGGATGTGACATGCAGTGGATCTTTTAGCCTGGTGATTGTCCCAGTAGTGTTTTCCTTGAAATGGATCCTCTACCCCCCCCCCCTTCCACACACACACACACACACACACACACACACACACACACACACACACACACACACACACTAACCCCCCCACCCCACACACACACACCACACCACACCACACCATCCCAAAATGAATCCAAACGCAGCTGGCCATGTCCCACACGGACACCGAGAGCTTTAACCCTAAACTGACCTCAATTTGACACCACCAGATGAAATGTTACCGCCTGTTAATGCCATCCACTGATTTCTTTCATACGCGGAAAGGTTGTGTGTGCACCTGAGAAAGGGCCGCAACGTGAAAGCCACTTGTAAGAAACATAAAACTAGTTCAAACTGTCTCTGCTTGGTGTCCTCCTGGAGTCATCTGGCTTGTAAACGCGCTCAGGTTATGAGCGGGGGAGTTGAAGTTGGCACAGGTCTTGTTTATGGGGAAAATTAATTTTAATTAACTATTGAGTGAATGATGATTAAAGTGAAATTAAAAACTTAAACGCACGGCTCGTGTGACGCCGCACCCAAAGCCTCTCACAAGCGGAATTAACCCATTTCACAACCCTAAATATGGTTAATTATGATGTCTTCGTGTTTATGACTTCTATTAATTAGTCAAATAAATACTTCACAAAAGGAAAGCAATGAGATTCCTCGCCGTTGCTGGAAGTTTTTATAGGGAAGGATGTGTTTCTGTGGAGCCGTACATTGGACACGCGTAATTAGCCCCTGCTATTTTCACACGCTCTTCGGGTGTTTACATCACTCTCCTCGGGGGCAAATCACATATTTCCACAATAAATGCGCGAAAATGAAAGAAAAAAAAAAAAAACGCAAACTCTAGAAGAATAAAAATTCTCTTGAGCGCCTGGGATTTTTTTTCTTCTTTTTTTTAGGATACTGCGCTGTAACGCTTTAACGGGAGATTAAACATGCATATGAAATCTGATTTTTTTTTTTTCTCTCTCTCTCCAAACTTTCCCTTTACTGCGCCGTGAACGGACGCGCGTTTACAACAAAGCGGTAGATACAGTATAAGGTTTATGCTACTTACCATGTCTGTCCAGAGGAGGAGGAGGATGAAAAAAAAAAAAAAAAAAAGTCAAGCGTTAGTGCACAAATCAATGTGAGCGATAGTATTTAGCTTATAAAAATATGAGTCTTCAATAGCAGAGTCTGCCGGGCTTTGGTTGTGTTTACAGAGTGTGAGTAAGAGAGACTTGGAGACGGTGAATGCCTTGGCTCTCTGCGCACCGCTCTGCAGCTCCTTCCCGGGGTATTGCACGTTGAAATGTCCACACAGCCGTTTGTCAAACCCTGCAGTGCTACACTTCCCACCCCCCTTTATGCCAACAAACATAACTGTTGTCACGAATTCATTTATTAACTCTTTTTCCTTTGTTTAAACCCCCCCCCCCCAAAAAAAACAAAACAAAACAAAACAAAAAAAACCCCCAGCTATTTCTGTAATCGACCCTGAGCAACTCTGCTTGGTATTTTGTTTGTTGGGGGAGTTTATTGACCCTCCAACAGTAGCCACAGCCCATCTCCCTGAGCGTGTGTCTGCTTTAATCCTAACCTGTGAATAATTAATTTCCACCATCAAAAATGTCACGGAGCCATAAATGGAGCCTTTATGTGAGAACCTATCAATACAGCCATGATGCCACATTAGCACTGATGGAGCTAAATATTAAAGGGGATAGATGGCCTGCTTCTGTTTTGTGCGTGAAAGTGCTCAGGCTCCAAAAAGAGCTCCACTGCAATCGATGGCCGGAGCGTTGCTCCTCCTCTAAACTTCAATCTCCTCACATGATTGATGATCTAGGGGAGCTTTGATAATTGACTACTCTGAGGTAAGGCACGGATTTCTATCAAGAGAGGGGATTGGACGAAAGAAACATACAAAATTACTTTCTCCACTTTTTTTTTTCTCCCTCCCCCCTCTTGGAAAAGTTCATTCAGGACTTAGAGGGGTGCTGCGTGTCGTTTAATTTGCTAAAAAGACCAGAGCAATAATTAGCTGTAAGATTAGGAGGTATTACTGAGATATTAGCCCACGTAGGCACACCGGCTTATAACCACAGAACAGATAACAAGTAAGCGTCATGCGCATCTATTAAATTCAGCATTCATAAGATCCTCCTGGTAATTTTACCTGAAGATGCCTTATAATCTTTTGTTTTACTTCTGTCACTAACTGTAAGGTCGGGAAATAGTTCAAATCGTCATTAATGTTTATTTCTGTTAATGTTCAGTTTTACCGTGCGTAAAAGTTTGGATGAGCCATGCGTAAATCTGCTTTTAAATTCTAAATCATACTTCATGCAGTTTAGTTCACTCAGTGTTATGTTCATTTCACTCAGAGCAGTTGCAACCTAAGTGTCCGCGCTGGTAAACCTTCCTCACTCAGCCTCTCTCTTGCTTTTCTTTAGGACTCTCCTCGGCGAAAAGGAATTGGGTGGGAGTTGGAGCTGTGTTGGTTTGGCTTTTACCCCCAGTGTGGAGTTGAAGCCGTCCCTGTGCCTCGCATATACTCTGCATATCACAAGATTTGGTCTCTCCTCTCTCTTTTCTGGAGCTGCTGTAGGACTGGCTATGGCCACCACTACTTCCGGGATCCGTCATTTCATTCGCCCACCGCTCGGCGCTGCGAACTGACTCTGTTTCTATAAGCAAGCTAGCAGCCAACCTGCCAACACTCGCTGACACTCACTCATCTCAGTCTCGCCAGATAGACGAAATACCTACGGGGGAAAAGAAAGGAAAGATCCGAGTCGCAATCTCTTAATTTCTCCAGCTTTTTTTCCCTTTTTTTTTTTACAGTGATAATAAAACAAGATAGCGATCTGGAGGCATTAAAGGAGACGCGGACTTGCGGGATGAAAACGGACTAAAAAGATTCGTCCTTCTCTTGAACATCATCACCAACCGTCATTCATTCATTACCTTGACAACCTCTGGCTTTGATTGACAGCTGGAGTGGCAAAAAGCCATGAGACACGACAGTTTAGTTACATGCAGGTTGTTGATGGGCCGATTGTAACCTTCACTTTGGCGCATTTTTTCTTTTTTTTCCGGGGAAAGAGGGAAAACAAGAAAAATTGCAAAACTCCCTGATGCTACGATTTCAACTGAACCACACTGGCGAATAGGAGAATTCGCAAAGTTGGTTGAAAAAGGAATCCTGCCACTAAATCACTTTCTAACCGGGACTGGGATATTAAATATACGACAGATTCAGGAGTTTATTGGAGCGCAGCCTGATGGCGCAAAGGGTAGGTTTTAAATCTCCTACACTTACCTGTTCAAATCCACTGTAGGGAGGCCCTCGTATCGCTAACCTCTTGTCGGCTGGTGGCAAATTCGCAAAGTATTCATATCAAAGCCGCGATATTTGACATTTTTGCAGCGCCCTTACTCTTCAAGCAAAGTGACAGCCTCTGCTTTTACCGACAGCCTCCACGACAGTCGTGGAGCAGTTTCACAGGAGACTCCAAACTAATTCGCTCTCTTCACTCGCCAAACTCTCTTTCGGGGAGCATCTAAGTTATAATGTTTTTGGTAATGACAAACCGTTTAACTCAGATAATATATGACACTTTTCTGCCGTGGCTGCAGCGCATTTCCTACAGCTTCTTAGTTTCTCCTTTGCCTGTATTCAAAATGAGACGGCAATCTTTTTTCTACTTTTCACATTTGTTTAAAAAAGAAAGAAAGAAAAAAAGGTAACCGGGCAGTCCGCGCTGACTTTTTTTTTTGCTCTGATTTTATCCCCAGTACGATGAGCTGGCCCATTACGGTGGGATGGACGGAGTCCCGGCGTCGATGTACGGGGACCCGCATGCTCCCCGGCCGCTTCCCCAGGTCCACCACCTGAACCACGGACCGCCGCTGCACGCCAGCCAGCACTACGGAGCCCACGCTCCTCACCCAAACGTTATGCCCACCAGCATGGGCTCTGCTGTCAACGACGTTTTAAAGAGGGATAAAGATCAAATTTATGGGTAAGGTTTTGCATGAACCAAATACGCCTGCATTCTGTAGCCTATATATATATACATATATATATATATATATATATTTCCCCCTAAGTTTTCAGCTTTTCTATAAGTTAGTTTAGTTGGGAGTTTCTCTCCCACCACTAAATTTAAATGGTGCTTTGTGCAGCATTGACCGCAATTTTGGAGCTCTATTGTTGGTCAGGGGAGTTTTGTTGATGTGTAATTTTATACGCATTGTAGAAGGCAGCGTCGAGCCTGCACTAAGTAAGAGTCTAAGCCTCGAGCTTGAAATACAAGCTATAAAATAATGTGCAAGCGCTCCGTGCACAGTCTTAAGCTTGGAAGTCACAGGCTGCAGGGAAGTGTAACAAAAACTATTTACACCGTCATGACAAATGTTCCACCTTATAAAGTTTGCTTCAATATTACAGAGCAGGATTATTTGTCTAACCTTAAACAGTCTCCACTCATTTAACTGTTCTCAATGATACAAGCAGAAACTTGTCATTTTTCCCCCTAATATTTGCAGTAACACACACACACACACACAGAGCGCGTCACAACGCACCATGAGTCTTTGTAATTCTCCTGTTGTGAGATTATTCTCTAAAAATGAAAGAACGCGCATCTACACGTTATAACTGACGACTGCAAACACCTTGAAAATGTTTTCACATATCGCTCACAAACACACCCACATAGAAAGTGCTATAATCCTCAGTGTATCATTTTAATCTTGGGTGTAGCAGAGTAAATCCACTCCAACTCTTTTACTCGCATTGTCACAAGTGGAACAGAGTTTACTTTCATTTTTGAACCGGCACAAACCTAAAGGACATAAATGAAGAAACTTAATGTCAGTTTTACGAAGTTAACCTGTAGAAATAGTCTTTTATTTTCTTAAGATTATAATTTATCTTTTTGAAAATTATTTAGGTGACTGTTTGTCTCGTGTTGATAGAAGAGTGAAAGTTAGAGTTTACGCATTTTTTTATTCCCCTCTGCTTCACTGTCATAGTTATAGGCCTGTGAGGGAAGAAACATTAAAGTCCTCGGTGGCTCAGAGCGTCTGTTGTGTAACTCTGCAAAATAATTTTTTCATTTCCAGTTTTTTTGCTCACTGTATAATTTCTCTAAAATCCCAGTGACCTCTGTTGTGTGTGTCAGTCCATGTTTTTTGTGGAGTTTTGTTGACTTCTGTGCCGTTTTTAGTTTGCACTGCAAGAAATGTCAGTCGATTAATGTCTCACTGAGTCTAAAATCCTTCTTTTCTTTTCTTTTTTTTTTTTTTTTTTAAACCGAGGACTTGAAATATTCCAGATGCGTCTGTTAACCTCGTCTTCAACTCAAAACGGCTTCTAAAATATTCCTATTCAATCCAGATATATTGTTTTAGTTGCTGTCTGCCTCATTTTGAGATGCGTTCACTTCCAGTAAGAGAAGTGTGTAAAAAAAAAAAACTACACAGCGGGGAAATAAGTAAAAAAAATCTCATCCAACTGTCTGATATTTTGGATTTGCTTTAGGAAAAGTCAGATTTATTTGGTAGCACTGAGGCGACAGATCTGCAGGTTGACATGGACATTTTTTGCAGTGGGCTTTGTGGAGCCGGTGTGCTGCTTGTGCTCAGGCTGTGTTTCCCTTCTTGCAGTCACCCTTTATTCCCACTGCTCGCACTGGTTTTTGAGAAGTGCGAGTTGGCGACGTGTACTCCGAGGGAGCCCGGCGTAGCAGGCGGCGATGTCTGCTCCTCAGACTCCTTCAATGAGGACATTGCTGTCTTTGCCAAACAGGTCAATTTTGCAATATTAAAAAAAAAAATTAATAATAATCACAATAATATATTTTGGATGTTGTGGCTGCGTCATGGCACATATAGTTTTCTGCCTGCTTCATGATTTTTGCAACAAAAACTTTTTTTTTCTTCTTTTGATAAAATGAAATAATAATAGTGTGTGTTCTCTGCAAAATTCATCCTTAGTGAAACTGTTGAAGTTGCATTATCAGGTTACATTCAAGTGTGAAAACACACATACACATACACACACACACACACACAGACACACACTCATCCCTCACATTTCATGCCAAACTAACTTTGACATTTGGTGTATTATTTTAGGTCCGAGCAGAAAAACCTTTATTTTCATCAAATCCAGAGTTGGACAATTTGGTAAGCGCACACTTTGACCCTCTCTGTCTCCCAGTAGTCGCCGCCTCGGTTGCGGTTGTAGGTGTAGGCTGCTATCTTACTCTGGCGTTGCTTTTTTTGGTGAGGGGGTGGTGGTGGTGGTGGTGGTGGTGGTGGTAGTGGTAGTGGTGGTGGGGTGGTGGACTCTGGAGTGTCCGCAGCATCACACAGTGAAATAAAGTGAACATATGATTCAAACTTCCGCACAGATGTCAGATCAGTTTTGAAGGGAAGCTGTGTGAGCACATTTGTCGCTGTCATTGTTCAGTCTTCCCATCTAAACTGACCCAGCTGTGACCAGTGTGTGTAGTGACTTATTAGACTAAGAGATTTCTTCTACAGTTTAAAAATATTTCTGGCTGTGGTGCACTCCATAGTGTCATATGACAAGGCGGATTATCACATCATATGTGTAAAAAGAAAAAAATATTAACCTTGTAAAAAAATGTTCTGATATGAATTTGTGTTTATTTTCTTCACTTCCAGATGATACAAGCCATACAAGTATTACGGTTTCACCTCTTGGAATTAGAAAAGGTAAATATTACACACCTTTATGTCCTTGTGGCAAACGCATGACGCCGCCTGCACTAACAGCCTGTATTGTAATGTAACTGATATTATTAGTATCCGGTGCAGGGTTGTGTGTATTAGCAGATGGACTATTTGAAAAAATATATAAATTGGGAAAAAAAGTTTCAGATTTTTCTCATTTTCATAAAATAAGCTTTTTTTAATTTTATTTTTTATTTCGCCAACTCTTTGTGCAGCTGCAGTGAATATTGATAGAATATGCTGGAGCCTCTTTGCTCACGTTGCACGTTGTTATTGATCCGCAGATTTAGTTTCAGCTTCTCATTATTTCTCCAGCTTACGGCATGCTCTTTATTATTATATTTTTGTGAGTGTGTGTGTGTGTGTGTGTGTGTGTGTGTGTGTGTGTGTGTTTGTGTGTGTCGTTCAACTTGTTGCTCCAGTCTCCTGAGAATAATAAGCACTGCAACAATTTCACTATTGTTTCCTCGCCGCCGATAATGCCCCTTAATTGGAGTTATTCTTGGACTGGCTGAAGCGTTTCCCCATCCTGAAAAAAGGTGTTTTCTTCCTTTTTTTTTTTTTTCCTCCCTCTGTAGGTGCATGAGCTCTGCGACAATTTTTGCCACCGGTACATCAGTTGTTTGAAAGGAAAAATGCCAATAGATCTAGTAATCGACGAACGGGATGGCAGCTCAAAATCAGATCACGAAGAACTCTCGGGATCATCGACCAACCTTGCAGATCACGTAAGTAACACAGGCTCTCTGTTATATTCCTCATATGTGATGTGCTGCTTTTCTTTTTCTTTTCTTTTTTTTCTTTTCTTCTCCGTGTCTGCACGAGTCTCTGCTGGTGAAAGAGCAAACCTGAGCATACAGGAATTTTCATGGGCAATGCATGTGAATAATCGACTATAAAAAAAAAAAAATAATAATCAGTTTTGTTTTAATGCCAACTTTTGGGCTACTTAGCTTCTGCTCAGCGTGTGACCCCGCTGTGCCATCAGTAAATAGAGCATGCTCTGTTCTGCAAGGAAAATCTGTCGATCGATGTTCTAAGGTCAAAAGCTAGATGTGATACAATAGACTGAGTTATTGTTTTAGTCTTTTGATTAGGGGCAGTCATGTGTGCATAATGCGTCCCTACTTGTGCTTGTGTGTGCTCGAGGTTTGAGTTAGTGTGTGTGTGTGTTTGTGTGTATTAGGGGGTGCGCGTGCGCGTGTGCAAATCGCTGTCGTGCATAATGGAGAGTTGCACGCTGAAAAGAGGCAAAAAAAAAAAAAAAAAACGGGAGGCAATTATCTGTTACGCAGGTTTAACGTTAAAGCAGGGTATCAGCGGTAAGCTTGAGCTTTAGGCCAATATTTAAAAAGAAAGGGGCTTTATTATTTGGGGCTGTGGGAGCTGGATATGGCCTGCGCGTATAAAGCTGTGGATTTTGCTGCAGAGGTGGAGAAAGTGGTAGCCTATTGAAATAGATCTCAGAGCTAAAGGCTTACCATCAATGTCAAGTTCACAAGGCATATGATGGTTCGTCTGGAGGGCCCTCCATTGCTGTTGATGTTAATGTGTTTAATTGTTTCGTATTGATTGCCGTGTGGTTTGCTCTGCAGTGGCTTTCTCCTCTGCTCCCCATTTTATGGCTGGAGGCTCCATAATGCTGAATTCAATTATATGCACCTGAAGTACAGAAGCTTTAAATTTGAAGATCGATGCCTTGGTTTAAATCGTGCATTTTCGGTGCAATAAACACAGACTCTCCTCGCTATATGGATTGAGCTGACAGTGTGTTATTGAGTTGATATCTGTGAATTATTGCGTCTTGCATGCATGTGATAAAGCTAATGTTTGGATGGAGGAAAAAAAAAGGGGGGGAGGGCGGCTATTGCAACAAAGTGACTAGTTAATATCTGTGCAGCACAAGGGCCAAGCCTATTAGGAATTAAAGCAGATTTAAGTGTTATGCAGAGTCACTGCGCTACATCTGTTGGGTCTGGCTATAGGCCTAATAGCAGTGGATTCCCTTTGAAAGCCCGTCGCGTTCACAGGGCCACGCAGCGCGCTTGCACAAGGTGAATTAAAACCTAATTAGACCTTAGATGCCGATGTTGGTTTGAGGAACGGTCAGAACGGCAATATTGTGGTCCTCCAACACAAGTGTAGAAATGAGGCATGCTGCTGTTTATATTGTAGAGATTAGATAAACTAGCCTGTTTAGTTTCATGGCAGATGGTTGATACTCAAGCCAATTTCCAATGGTGCCTCCAGTGCTCAGACACCAGCGTTGTCATCAGTCCACTTGTGAGAAATATTTTTGATAATTAGAAAATTAGATATGCCAATAAAGCAAATCAGGAGCAGCAATAAACAAAGAAGGCTGCATGACAAGCCATTTATCTTGGAGTCATTTGGACTGACCACCTCATTAGGTGTTTAAGTTTTGAGGGATTTATTTCACTTTTGTGGCACCAATGAACTTTTTATTATAGCCTACCTAACTGCTGGCCTGGGTTTGACAAAAGCAGAAGAGGGTTTTTTTTTTTCTTTTTTTCCTTGTTTGCTTTTAGAGCTGTGTCTGAGCTGAGAAATGACTTTAGTAGTGGAGGAGTACAGCACAATTATGGAAACATACACACTCCAGCTTATAGTTATTTTTTTAATAAATAAGAACACAATGTCTTATTTTTGTACAGTGTGTGTGTTTGATAGAAATAATATTTGCGGAAAGCGAAACTATGGAGGTTGAAATGTATACAGAGCAGTCAGGATCTGGAAGCCTTGTAGTAAATAGTTAACTTCTTCAGCTGTAATTTCCGTGTCCAATTAAAAAGAATCCAGCCTCGCATGCCTACAATGTGTTTTGAATATTGGAAACAATGCACAAAAATGCATTTGGCTGCAGAAGTGTACCGCTGGTTGGAAAGCAATTTCTGTCCTACTTGTCTTGATTTATTTATTTTATTTATTCATTTGTATTTGGCTCTGTTTTATTATTCATTTCTGTCCTTGCCTCTCAATGCGGAGAGGAAGGCGGTTTAATAGTTAGATATGCTAATTTATTTAGTTAGATTCTCTCACGTCCATTTTTCTTTGCTTTGATATGCATTTTTAATATATAGCCCTGGGCTACATCTCATTTGGTGAAAGTTGGTTTTTCTGGAGATGATGAGGCTCTTCACTGTGAAGGAGGCGGCCCATTGAGCTTGTTTTTATGTGTGTATGAGAGTGTGTGTGTGTGTGTGTGTGTGTGTGTGTGTGTGTCCCCTCTCTCTACCTCTTTCTGTTTCCCCTCCTCTCCCCTCCGCATACCTGACAGTCGAGCATAATAAGCGCAGTTTTATTTACACTTGAATGCAGCATTGTCTTAGAGATGATTGGATTATGGTATAGTGAGAGCGAGATGAGGTCTTGCTGACACTGTTGATTTCCCGTCTTCGCTTTCGGTGACTATCTCAACCATGTAGCCCACCCAAGGCTTCCTAACTCATCGCCCCTCCTCAGATCAACCCCATCCCATTTAAAAGAAAGAAGAAAAAAAAGAAGATGTTGTATTACACATGAAGGGTGATGGGGGGGGGGTGAAAAAAAAAAACACGGAGCGGTGTAGATTTGTAAACGGTTGGTACAGTGTGTGTGTGCTTGTCAATGGTTTGCTCTCTTGTCTTTTAATTAATGAATAAAATTTCTGTCTTTTCTGTGCTACATCCAATTAGGGAGGCAAATAGAATTAACGGAGTCTGAATATTATCTGTTCTAATGAATTAGCCTTTGTGTCTTCTCGTGCTATTGTGCCGCTTCTTCAGTCAAGCTTACATATTAACAGAAGGCTTTTCATTTCCTCTATGCATATGCATTATATGCCTCTGAAACTGTCTTTGGATTTCTGCATAGTTCTAGATTTGTTATACAGAATTTCTGGAGCATTTGCAGGATTCTGCGCTTTGTTTTGGAGAGCTTTCCTCAGGGAGTGATAGTAGTTCCCATAGAGGTTATGGTGTCGCTTATCTTGACTCTGCATGGCTGGAAAGGGAAAAAGAAAGGGGGGGGGGGACCTTTCTGTTTACATTTGATCCTCTGGTACAGGCTCAGGGCACAGTAGACCATTGGTTAGATATGGTGATGTCACAGGTTCTGTCAAGTAAAGCAATAGTTTGTCCTGTGCCCATGCAGTGATTTACTGTGTGTATCAGTGGAGATGGGGTGCTCAGAAATGTCCTGTTTCTGTATGTCACCGTGCATGGTGCAGCGCGCACGCAGCCCTCTGCCTCCGCTCTCTGCCTGTGGACAGCGAGCCCTCGGGCCGAGCCGGCGTGCTGAACCGTGGAATTTCTCTGTTCTGGAGGTGTTCTAATTCAACTAGCTTTGTTCTCCTCCTCGGGGACCAACTCTGTTTGGATCTCTCCCCCCCGCCCTTTCTCATGAAAACAGTGCATCGTTGACTTGGACCGCTCTGTCTGATCCACACAATTGTTTTGTGATGGTGGGATGTCTGGCCTTACATTTCCTATTTGATTAGTGTTCAGAGGCAGGGCCCCGTTGGCAGGCATATCTAATCATCGCTGCCGTGGCTGGAGAGAGGCGAGGCTCACTTGTTGCGTCTCTCACACACCCCTTCCTTCAACGGCATGCATTGCTGTAAATGACTGCAATGAAAAATAGTCACTCAGCATTCATTTTAAGACCATGACATACATGTATGTTGGCTCCCATTGAAATAAAACATATACAGTTAATTATAGCAGAGATATATATTTACATACTCATTTGAAAGCCCGTATTTTATAGTTATTTGTTATAGGGAATAAATGAAAGTAGAATTATCTGTAATGACTTGTCTGTTTTATATTTATGCCATTTCATATTTTGGATGTGTCATTTTGACGTGTGCCAAACCAATGAATCACAATAGTTGTCACATTTATTTTTTTTTTCCTTAAATTTAATCTCTTCTTTTTGGAGACATATTTTTACATGTAATGTGCCATTCACGATTGTAGAAAAAAAATAATAAATAAAAAGGTGGTTTGTTTTTGCCGCAGAGAAAGTTTTCAAGCATCTATACAATCACTAAATCCCTCATGTCTGTTAAAACATGCTCAAGTGAATTATTAGCTGCTGAATTAAAGACTCTTTATATTCAGGATAATTGAGGGTGTTGTAAATACTCAGCTTCTCAATAGAGTTGCACCTACACTTTTCCGAAGCGGCTGTATATAATTAGGCTCTCAACCCAACAAAAATGTGTGAGGAGTTTTTCTCTGTTTATGCCATGTGGCAAGATGTGTCTTGAAATGTCAGCTGGCTTTTATGATTTACGGCCCCGTGTGTTTCTGTTGTGTCAGCAATTCTGTTCATGTTCAGCACAGGATCCCTGTAGTTGCTCTTTGCAGTTCGCACTACAACATACAGTACAACATACACACACACACACACACACACACACACACACACACACACACACACACACACACACACACACACACACACACACACACACACACACACACACATACACATACACACATACACAAGGCTAGTCATTCCGAGCCTACCTTACACTGCTACTACATCTTCCCTTCCCTCCAGGTTCCTGGGGAATTTGAGGGAAATTCAATGATGCCGCTAAATCAATTTTATTTGAAATTCCTAGGGATGTAGGCAGAGTGCAGCGAGGGAAGTGAGATTGTGCCAGGCAGGTGTTTGTAAATGAGAAACAGGGGACAGGAGCAGAGGAGACAGCAGCATTCTCCTGCTCTCCTGTGGCCTGGCTGCACTACAAGCCTTCCTCCCCATATTGTCTCCTGCTTTTATATTAATTACAACTTGTATTATCAGCCGCCAGTTGCTAACCCCAGCAAACAGAAAAGGCTGCCCCTAGAGACCACGCTTCTTTTGTATCTTATTCTCTATCTAGTCCTATTGTGTGTGTGTGTGTGTGTGTGTGTGTGTGTGTGTGTGTGTCTGTATGTGTGCGTGTGTTCGTGTGTTCCCGCCTGCACATGTATGTGTGTTTGCTTGCTGGCGTTCTCCTCCTCCTCCTGGTAACACTGCTCTTTAACACAATTAGTGAAGAGCATGGAGTGAACCATGTTTGACTCCTAATTATGCCCAGCTTTAGGGAATAGTCACATGGGCTAGAGGCCTTTTTTTTTTCTTTTTTTTTTTCCTCTTTTGCTTCTTCCTCTATGTTTTTTCGAGGACTTCTTGTGTAGGTTGAAGAAGACTGTTTGGGTGACATGATTTTTTTTTTTACAACTTGTTTGAACTTTATCAGACCCACGGGGGTTGTGACAAAATGGTTGTGTGTGTTTGTGTTGTGCAGCGCGGTGTCTGATGATGCACACGCCGTACCTCAGAGAGGCCCACTAAATTATTCATGGGGAGGAAAGGCTGTTGCTTTTGTCGCCTCGTTGAGCGTGGAAAGTTAACGCTGTTGTTTTGATATTTGTTGTCTTGTTTTGCAGACGGGGTTATGAATGAGAGCTGACTTACAGGTATTACAAGAGGAGTGTGTGCTTCATTAAAAAATATCCACTGCATATCCAGTGGTCCCACTATCCACTGCTTCATTATTGTTCGGTCATGTAAAGTGCTGCGGTCTGCTTTTTGCCCTATAAGAACCGACCTAACAAAGCTTTATCTATATCCCTGCATACAGGCCCATTAAACCCACAGGGTAGCAAATCACAGCAAAATATCATTCCCTTTAACACCATTAGCTGAGGTGTCTTTGAATTTAATTTAGTGCCAGCACCATTAAAAATGACACATTACTCTGCAATGATAGCTAAATTAAGTCCTATCGATTCAGCTGTTGCATTAAAACCATGCTGTGGCCATAGCTGGCAAGTGTTAGAGAGAGAGAGAGAGAGAGAGGGAGAGAACAAGAGAGCGAGAGTGTGTGAGAGCAGCAAGCATAGTTTTTCAGGTCTGTCTCGCGTCTTGTCGGCAGTGGGTGTCTCATTGTGAGGAAGTAGAACCCAGTCATTTTCTTCTCTTGGAACAACAACAGCCCGTTCCGAGTGCACAGAGCCCAGCTCTGCTTAAATACATTATGCACTCAGGGAGTCTGGGATTTTTTACCTCTTTCTTCCTTCCCTCCATGTTCCATATGACAAAGACAAAATTAGAGTGTGTGAGAGGTTTGATGGGCTTTTCCCACATTATTGATTTTACTCAGGCTGTGCTGAGAATAACAGAAAATGACTATAACATCAGACCTTGTTCTGGTAAAGTATACCATGTGTTGATCAGTGGCCCAGAGAGTGAACACATCACAATCACCCATCCCTCTCAGAACAGGGACACTTTTACCTTCGCTCACTCTGGAGGGCTAAAGCCCACGCATGGGCTATTGTTCGCCCTGTCTTCTTACCCCTCTTCTGAGTAATTCTCCAAGCTCTTTATCTGATTGCCATTCGGTGAACAGCTGACGCTGAGAGGGCCTTGAGTGGAGCGGAGGGTCTGAAGGGCCTTGTGTGTTTCTGTCTGCTGTTTTCAGCTCCAAGCTGTTTAAGAAAACAGCCCTCCTTCCCCAAAAAACTTAGCAGATAAAAGGGCCTCGCTCACAGGCATAGCAGCAGCCTCGCCTCCACAGCAGAACAAGCAGCAGCACATCAGGACTGCGCACCCAGGGGAGCTTCAGCAGCCGCTTGTCTTATAGCCTCTGTATCCCTGCAAACCTCCACTAGTCTCCAGGCCCTATCCTGTCTGTCCTCCTCCAGTACAACTCACTCTGACTGGAGCTACAAAGCAGGCAGGCAGGCTCCTCTCTGGCGGCAGCTGAGGGAAAAGAAGTTCATCAGGAACACTACTGAAGTTAGACAAAATGGTAAAAACGGTCTCTTTCTTGGAATATTCTGTGGCGTGTACATTTTCCCTCTGCTTTCGCATGTATATATGTGTGTTTGTGTGTGTTTGAGGAAGGGAAAAAAAAAAAAAAAAAAAAAAACCCTAGCGGGAACTGAGAAGTGGGTTGAGGTTTGTGGGAAGCCTTGGTGCAGGCCTGTGTTTGTTTGGCTTGGGCCCTGCACAAGGGGCTGCCTCTCTCTCGGGCCCCGGACAACGTTGGGCTCACGTTTGCCAACATTTTGTCATCGTGCTCAGGTGACATGTTAAATTGGGAAAGACTAGCTCGGGGTTGTGTGCGATATGAAGCCGTATCAACTCTGTGTGAGAGGCTGTTTGGAGTGTTGATTCGATTGAGCCTGTGCATTTGCGGGCGCGAGTGTAGTAAATGACGTGATCGGTCTGTCCCTCTATTGCCTGAATGGCAGAGGAAATTCCACCTCCAGCCTGCCTTCATGTGGCACTGATAAAGCCTTTCCTGTACAGTAGAAAATCCTGTTTCCCTGTGTGCACCGACAGGGCAGTGGGAATGACCAGGAAAGAGGGGAGGATGAGAGAAAATGAACTGTTAGAAGGAGGGAAGGAGAAAAGAAGGGCGCCTTAAAAGCTATGAATTTGTTTATGGACATTTCTTTGAAGTTAGCCAACTGAGATTTAACACTCTTTTCAGCATGTGTTTGTATATATAAAAGTGAGTGTGTGTGCATATGTGTTTATACTTTTTGCTCTATTATGTCATTAGCATGTGTGCGTAAGTGTATGTCTGCGAGCCTCTGTGGGCGTGTGTGTGTATGACAGTGTGGGCGTGTACGCATTTTTGGCAGATTAGCAGGAGAATCACTGTCATATCTTATTTTCATTTCTGACAGTGGTAATGATTAATGGTGGCTGTGGTGTGTTTGGACTTTTTACCTCTATATTTCTCACTTGACACGGAAGTCTCAATTGGTATCGTATAAACGAACTCCACTGGGCTCTGCCATATGTGTTTAGAAAATCACTCACAAGTGCTCTACTTGCAACGTTCAAAATCAAACGCCACATTAACAGTGCTGCGTTTTGCTCTCATGCATTAATGAAACACTTTGATTACAGTGTTTTGACTTATTGCCAGCTGCTTTAGTGCATTCGCTTCTTTCTGTTCATCTATTATTATAGTGGCATCGCTGATTGTCTGCTAGCTGGGAAAATAGGCGGCGGGGCTCTTCGCCTTGCCAGGAGAATGTAAGCAGGCCAAGGACCCTCACAGTGCCTGTAGACTCTTACAGATGTCACTCTCACGTTTCCAGCATATTCATATGTTCTCTCTCCCCCCCCCCCCCCCCCGTTACTCCCCCCTTTCCTGCTCTCTCTGCTCCTGGTTTGCGGTTTGGACGGGGAATGTGGATGGATGCACGGATGGATGGATGGATCCCACGCTCGCTTTCTCTCTTTTCAAACCTCAGAACCCAGCTTCCTGGAGAGACCACGATGACGCCACCTCCACACACTCAGCCGGCACACCGGGGCCCTCCAGCGGGGGACACGCTTCACAGAGCGGTGACAACAGCAGCGAACAAGGTGAGCCAGCACAGACGTGGTGGACACGCACACTCTCTCTCTCTCTCACACACACATACATACATATACATACACGCATGCCCTTGTGCGCTCAAGCACTAACACATAAACATACATAGATAAAGCCACAGATCCATGCAGGACATATTAATCTTCATGCATGAGAAGAGTTGCCAACACTTCACTTTAACCCTGTCTAATGTGAGACCTACAGTGAATAGATGGCACATCTCTCTACACACAAACACACCAGTCCTGCCTCTTCCACATTGGATTATCCCGTTTTTTGACTGGCGTCCATGTAAACACATAGTCACACCTAAAAATGAACACGCTTATCCACTGTTACACTCACGTGCAAATACGAGCAGCAGCCACTGTAATGCACCAACCTAGTAAAGGGCTTTCCAAAACGTTGCTATTTAGAGAGCTGAACAAAAGCTGGTGATTAATAGTATATTTCTGCCAGTTCTTGCTTGCATTTAAACCATATTAACTTTGCTCTTGCACAACAGCCCCTAATTATGTCTCAGAGAGCCTTGTGTTATCTAGTACGCGACCTGCCAAGCTGTAATAATGCATTTCAAAACAAATGCATTTGAATTTGTTACAGATAGTGTGTGTAAGTCACAGCTATCTGCCTTGTGTTTTTGTCACGGTCTGTCTCAATTTTGACATGTAAATGTTCAAAAAGCATAGGCTGTTAGAGGAATTTAGAGGTGAGGCCAAACATCAATATGTCGTGAGGTTCAAATTGTTTATTAAATGCAACTGCTGCCTGAACTAAGAGAACAGATGATGAGCTCTTGGCCTTTCCTGTCTTGTTTTGAATGCACCAAGATCTCCTTTCACTGGCGGCAAGAGTGTGTGTGTGTGTGTGTGTGTTTTTGTGGGTCTCTTTCTGTATCTGTGCGTGCCCTCTGGCAGTGTCCAGGGTTTTGCATGAAATTTCATCACGCCGTCTCCACACACAAACACACTCAGACACTCTCATACACACTTTACACACGGCTCTCTCGCAGAGTGGAGCCGCTCGCTGTTGCCCGTTCGAGGCTATCATTTTGCCGATAAGCGATCAAATGCATCGATGGGATACCGTTGTCTGTGGTGGGGCTGTTTAAATCATCTTCTCCTCTTCAGACAGAAAAGCGGCAGTTGCAGCTTCTCAGGGCATTACTGACCACAGAGCGAGGGCCGCAGCAGACCTCTGTGGTTGGCCGTGTCAGGGCTAGTTGGATCACAGGCTGTTGTCAGGCCAGTTGGAGAGGGGGAAGACGATGATAGCTCGGCCTTGGCTGAGCAACAGGATGTGTCTGTCCAAGCAGAATGAAGGAATGGCTTACAAAAATGTGACACTTAATTGATCCTGGTAGGGATACAGTAATTCTCCAGGGTGCAGTGACAGATACAGAACAGTCTCTTGCCCCGGGACACTTCAGCCGTTCAGATGACGCTGGGCTTACTCTCACTCAGCCTGTATAAAGGACATTATAAACTTAAAAAAAAAAAAAAAAAAAAAGAAAAAGAAAAATCTGATCAATTGCAGTAAATCAGGTGATGGATTTTCTGATATGGAAGTAATAATATTAGATAAAACACTGTATGATTGCAGGTCAGAAGACAGAGCATAGGTAGAGTTATTTCACTCCTTTTTGCAATTGCAAGCAGCATGGGAGATGAAGACTGCAGGAACAACAGAGAGAGAGAGAGGGGTGGGGGGGTGGATGAGAGAAAGAAATGCACTGCCTATTGATTATCTTACACACATAAGTACAAGTGACCTGTAATCCACAGAGCACTTATCGACTCCTCTCCCCACCGTATCCAGTAACAGCGGATCAATACGGGCCAAAGACAGTTACGGTACAGCACCGTGCACTGGGCCAATACAGACTCAGGTCTAGATCAGGGCCAGAACCCGACCCGCGCTGGAGAGTGCTAAACGCTAGATCCGCCAGCTCACAGCAAAGGCGGAGGAAGCAGCATAGAACAGAATCAGAGATTTACAAGAAGAGCTACTGAAGTACAGAGGTGCAAGAGTGGAGAAGGTGAAAGAGTAGACAGAGCGAGAAAAAGGAAAGAGAGGCAGAGAAAGAGAGAGAGAGAGAGAGAGGGCAGCTGATTTAATGGTCTAATGAGGCCGTCCTCCAGCCAGTTGTTTTGTGTGAGGCATGCTCTGACCTTTCGCTCCGCTCGGGAGCCCTGCCGCCTCATTTTTCACATTCTTGCAATTACGTTAACGCTTGAAGCGCTCGCTGACTCCCCGACTCTGGCCGCCCTTCCATTCTGACAGAGCCTTCCCTCCCCAACCTCTCCACCTTTCCCTCCTCTCCTCCACTCCACTCCACTCCACGCATGAACTCGCCTCCTATCTCAATACATTTCCACATAAAATTTGTAGTCCACACTCTCAAGTCCACAGAGAAAATGTGAAATGTGTGCTTCACTTCAGTAATGGGGTCTTTAACAGCTTGGCCCCTGTTAAAAGGGGTGACGATGTGGATCAGTTGAGGACGGCAGAATAGATGGGAGAGATTGAGAGCGAGGAGGAGAGAGAGAGAAAAGAGTGCGTGGGACCAACAGTGCTTTTTGGCCCCAGCTGCCAAGAAAAACATCAACTTTCTTCCCCCATTTTTCCATCTTGAAAGGTGTGTTGTATGTGTGCCTGTGGCTTGAAAAACATTTACCTCGAAAATTGATCCAGAAGCATCTATGTGTTGAATATGTGACTCCAGTCCATTTCTCCCAGAAATGGTGAAGCGTTTTTGACAGTGGCCAAGTCAAACTGTCTCGAGGAGTAAAAAGTTTTAACTTGTTTCTTCCTTTCTCTTTGCCTTTGGCTGATGTTAGGGGTTGTACGATAGAATAAAGTTCAATAACACGCATTTTATAAAAAGTACTGTATGTGCAGTCGTACGGCACTCTCTGTGGACAGAATTCACTTCCACAATCTCCAGCTTGTATCTCAGCACCGAGCATTGTTCTGAACCGGTGCCAAAAAACAATTTAACAAGTGCGCAAATATGTATTGCCCCTCTTGTGGAATAATTTATTGTCAAGCAGTAAACCAAGGTGAAGCATGCTCATAGCTGTCAGTAAAGATTGCCAGTTAAGGTTCAGACACATATGAAAAAGGTTTCGGTACAATACTCAGATCTGCAACCTCTCCCCTCCTGCCGTACTTAACAGACATTTTTTTTTCCCTTTTTCTCAGAATTTCCCTCCAAAAAAAGAAAATATGAATTATCACCCTCAGGGCAAATTCTGCACTCTCACCTACTGACTCTGAGAGAGTGACTCCCTATGTTCTGGCTAGATAAACAAATATCAGCGGTTAAAGGGAGATGGTTCAGAAGGTAACGCACAATAACTCCCATTGGCTCTGCTTGCACATCATTTTGATTAACAGTCCTTTGGAGCTCCTCCAAGCTTATCTAGAAACATCAAAAACATCAGTTGCAGGGAGTTAAACTTGATGAATGTGCGTGCCTTAAGATAGCACTCGTTTCCAAGCAGGTGTCCGTAATATGTTAAACACCCAAAGTGCGATGGAGCAGCATGATGAAATCCTCTGCACGTTTGCCCACACCAAACACACTGCACGCAGTCATGAACGGTAAATCCCCAACACTGATTCAGCACGGTAGGTAACGCTTTGCCCCTCCTTGCTGTGCGTGCATATATGTGTGTGTGTGTGTGTGTGTGTGTGTGTGTGTGTGTGTGTGTGTGTGTATGTGTATGTATGTATGTATGTGTGTATCTGTGTATGTGCGTGTGTGTGCGTGCGTGCGTGCGTGTGTACGCATGCTTCAGCTCCAGTCCACACTTGTAATTATTAGCTATGCATGAAGACCAAATCCACATTGACATGTTGAGTGGGTGAGCAAAGGGGCTTTCTGTACAATTCCCTGATTCTACTGTAGATGGAAAGGGCTGAACAGAAGAGAGGAGAAAGCATTTTGTACATTTTCTCAGCAATTGAACAATCCCCACGCTCTGCGGATAGACAGACTCCCCAGAGAGACCGAGAGAGGCAGAGATGGAGAGAAAGGGAGGAAGAGAGGGAGAGCTTGAGTGTTCGGCTCCAAGGGAGCATGCTGCGCTTGATGGAGTTGTGGTACATTTGTGTGCGTGTGTGTGTATGTGTGTGTGTGTGTATGCGTGGGGAGTGTGGTGAGCTCCCTTGGCCTCGGCTGGGGGCCCCACTCAGCAAGGTCTTTGTGGTTGAGCTCACTAGAGTGGGGTCATTCCTGGCGGGGACACGACACCCCGCGTCCGCTCAGAGAGTCCCCCCAGCATGAACAAGGCCTGTTGAATCTGCCATTTTCCACACCTTTTTTTTTTTTTTACGGCTACAATTAGGGCTCAAAACGACCCAAAAAAGAAGAAAGAGAAAGAACAAAAAACATGAAACCACAACAGAGAGAACTCCACAATCTCTGCTAAACGCAAGATGGAAGTCTTGTTGCATTTTAGTAGCTTATATCCAAGCTCTGGAGTGATCAGCGAGGTGTGTCTGTGCACATAAAATATGCCGTGTGTGTGTGTGTTGCGTGTGTTGCGTGTGTTGTGTGTGTGTGTGTGGGCATGCATGTGCATGTGTTAGCTGGTTCCCTCTAAGTGCCTGTTAGAGTTTAATTTAGTGTAGTAATTAAAGCTGAACACTGGCCTATAAACAACAGATAAACAATAAAGCAGACCCAAGCCCTGCTGTTTCATGGCTCTCACTCCCAGCTGTTGGAGCACTGATAATTTTTACACAGTGCCCCCACCTCACCGCAACACAATGCTGAAGCAACAAGGGTGTGTATGTGTTGTAAATGTGGGCATGGGTATATTTTAGTGTGTGATGGCAGAGGCCGAAACAAAAGAAAAAAAGGCCAAAGAAACACATAAACACACAGGATATGTCCACTTCCCCTCTCGAAAGAAAACACAGGGAACCGCAGAGAAGCAATCAGAAAGTGTAAGAGGAGTACAGTCCGCCTTTAACAAAACCA